TCAAAATTATGAAAAGTGAAATTTGGGATGAGAAGGTAATTTTTTAAAAGATTTTGATGAAAAATTGATGAAAGGATTGGAGCAGTTCATATTAAATCAAGCATTTTACTCAAATTTGGAATCAAATTAGATGCAAATTTTGGTGAATGATTGGAGATGGTCTAATAGTATAATACTAAAATTACAATTCAGGTAAGCTAGTTGATTGAGACTGCAAAAACAAATAATCATAATCATAAAATAAATGAACAAAAAAAAATTGAGAATTGGGTTGTGAATCATACCAATATCAAGCCTTCCAAATTTAGACATGATAAAATCAGCAAGAGAAGCAATACTAGATGGGTCCACAACATCAAGCTGAAAGAATACCACGTGATCAAAGAGGCCATCACTTTTGAGTTTCTCAAGAGCTTCAAAACCCGTATTCTCATCTCTAGCAGTCAACACCACCACGATTCCCTTAGAGCAACGGCATTTGCTAAAATAGCATTGTCATTGTTATAATTTGGCAATGAATAATGTTATTTTGTCAAATTATAACAATAGTGCTCCAATGGTCACATGCTATTTTGGCAAATCTCAACCAAGTTTTCCTCTAAGTTTGTAGGTGTTGTTTTGATATAGGTTTTTTAGTGATTTTTTTTGTTGTTTATTTTTTGTCTTTTGTGACATTTTTTCAACTATTTGTAAAAAAAATTATATATTTACATTATACCTAACTAGACAAATATAAAAAATGAAAAAAAAAATTGAAAATTTTCCAAAAAAAATTTAAATATAATTCACCCGTAAATTTAAATATAAAATATTTAAAATTACATCGAAAAGGAAATGACATTGCAAAATTAAAAAATACATTCTCCCATAAATATTCATCAGGAGACAGGGAAAAATAGTAATTTGGGTTGCTGAAATGTGCCGACCACTTGGCAAAAATCTCATTTTTGCGCATTATGTAATACGCTTTTGTCTGAGGGTCTAAATGAAAAATATCCGTAGTCATTATCAAACGTTTTTCCTTTTTTATCTCAAGTTCTCTCATCTCCTGCAAATGTTATTACTTTTTGATCTCTAGTTCTTTCATCTCCTGCAATGCTCGGATTCTTTTTTCTTCTCTTTCAGCTTTTTTTCATTTCTTTCTTAGCAAGGTGTTGGTTAAATATCTCCAACAAATTGTTATATGTGTGGACTTTAGCTTGAACAGCTTCATTTTTCCGAAGCAATTCTTTTGCAGATTTCCTACCCATAGGGCTTTTACCCCATGCAGAGACACTTCCCTCACCGATTGGATTATTACCAACACTTGAACTGTTTTCGTCTTCAAGAGAAATGATGTTATTCATAGGGGATTCGGAGCCTGAATTAGGAGAAAACGGTGTACATATCCTTGACTTCACTGTGTTCGTAGGAGTTACATCTTGCCACCTGTTATTGTTTGCAAGATTGGCCAACAATGTTTAAAAGCAAAATGCTTATTTTCATCTTGATGGTATAAAAGTTTTGCTTGAAGCATCTGTATCAGTAAAATATTAAATTAATTAATTAGTTAATTTTTATATGAGACAAAATGAAAAAGCTAACATAATAAATGAAGATGAAATCTTACTATATCAACCTGAGACATCCCACCTGAGTGTATATTTTCGACTTGCGCCAAACACTCACGAAATTTGTTGCAACATTTCATGATTACATCCAATCGAGATGAGATAGACATTTGTGTTCTTGAGTGATCATTCTGCAGCGAGCAATAATTTCCAAAAAATCTTCCCAAAAAATGAGCATGAAATTACGAATTCCCGACAATTGGATTTTCAGTAACGTGACGCCAAACTCTACAAATTGCCACATCTTCGTTAATGTTCAAAAGGCATCAGGATATTCTGTTGGTTGAGAATGCTAATGTTCAGTACGGGAAACTGATGCATTCAACATGGGTGCATAGTGCTTTAAAAAATTCTACGTTAATTGAAAATGTGCCCTTCATATCAATTAAAAGCTCATGGTTTTGGCAATTGAAAAGTTATTTAATGGATGATAGATAATCCATTACATCAGCCAAAGAGAGATCTGTACCATATTAAATTGGAAATAATTGCACACAATAATAAAGCAAAAATTGGAGCACAAATGAAAAATAAACCAAAGTGTGCATCTTTTTTATCCAAATGATTGCATAAAATGGAGAAGGACGGGCCTAGCGTAGCGATAAAGCTACCCCTTGGTGACGTGGAGGCCACGGGTTCGAGTAGCGGAAACAGCCTCTCCGCTTGCGGGATAAGACTGCGTACATCAACCCTTCACCAAATCCCCGCTTAAGCGAAAACTTCGTGCACTGGGTACGCCCTTTTTTTGATCACATAAAATAGAACGAACATGAGTTTAATAGATTTTGGCGGTGTTTGGGGAAAATTTTTTGTAGGTTTTTTTATTTTTATTTTTTCCACTAAAAGACAAAGTTTTTGCAAAATCAAAAAAAAAAAACAAATCCAAACAAAATATCACATCCCACCCTATAATCATTTCACTTTTTCTCTCACAAACATCACATCCAACCACAAAAAAATCCAACTATCTTCTTAAACACACAAAAAAAAATTTCCAATAATAAAAAAAAAAAAAAAAAAAAAAAATCCAATAATATCCTACAACTAAAAAAAACCTACATAAAACCCCACTTTCCAAACACCCACTTTGACAATTTAATAATTTCATCATTTGATTCAACAAAGATATTTTATTGAAGGTCACTTATTGGAGACAAAGTTGGTGTTTGGGAAGTGGGGTTTTTTGGTAGGTTTTTTTAGTTATAAATATTATTGAAGAAATTTTTTATTTTATTTGTGGGAAGATAGTTGAGTTTTTTTGTGGTTGGATGTGATGTTTGTGAGAGAATGAGTGAAATGATTTTGGAATTTGATGTGATATTTTGTTTGGATTTTTTTTTTTTTTTTTTTTTGTAACAAATTTGTCTTTTAGCGAAAAAAAACAAAAAAAAAACCCCAAAAAAATCCTTCCCAAACACCCCCAAAGAGTAAGAAAGGAGATCAGATTCGTGCTTCAGATTTGAAAGAAACGAAACAATTTTACAAACATCTTATGAGCATCTTAGGCGTTTGGTGTGGCGTGGCATTTTATCATCCTAATTATTAACTAGATAGTTATTGGATAATTTCACCAAATAACTTGCGAACAGAAGAATTCTGGAAGGAAGGAGGTATAAAACCGAAGAAAACCACAAAGATATCCTAAGAGGTAAGTGTGTGTAGCAGAGTGACAGTCAGAGTGAGAGCGGGAAGATATATAATTCATACCTGCGTTCAATAATGTCTGTGTATGCTGGTGGCCGTTGATTGCGAAGAATGGTGAGGGTTGAGACTGATGAGGAAATGGAGTAGCGCTCAAGACAGAATGGCAGAATGGCCGTGCTGTGTCCAAAGTTCTGTTTGGCAACTTAGGAGGGAAAAAATAAAAAAAAATAAATTATTTTTTGAACATTCAATCAATCAATCCTATATATTTTGTTGTTTTTTCAATTTTACTAACTCATCCACTCAAATCCTAATTATGTCCCACTCTCACTCCCTGATCATCCCTAACCTCCCAATTTTAATTTTATCAAAAGAAGGGAATGGCAACGATAGTAATCCAAAAGATAAGAGGTATGATTTGAATTACAATTTGTTCCCAAAAAATATTTTTTTTTAATTAATTAATTAAATTATGTTGACTTACTTTAAAGGCTGGATAAAATAGAATAAATCCTATAAATTTGATATCATTATATTATGTTTTTTTTCTTTTAAAAAAAATAAAATAATAATAATAATTAATTTAGGAGGGCAAAATTGTAAAATCTAGCCCAATTAGAAATTTGAGCCCAAAGGTATCTAGGGCCCGAACCTAATAAGATTCTAGAACATGGGCGGCCGAAGCAAGTAACGGACCTGATCTTCAGTATTCTAGAGGACTTCAAGATATGAGTTAAGAGAAAGATCAAGCCAATATCATAATTATCGTAGGATCAGTATAGATCCAACGGCCGAAGATCGTGGTAGGTTGACCATTTCTTGGACGATCTAGATTAATCTCTGACATGAGACAATAATATTCGATCTATCCTAATCTAACAGTCGTCGATCAATGCAACTTCTTTGGCGAATGGGCCACGATGGTCTGGCGGCAATGGAGTAAAAATGAGAAAATAAAATTCTTTAAAACAATAATTTTTCATTCTTATCAAACGATTTCATTGACCATGTTCTTATTACCAAAACAGAACAATTGTCGAATCTATTATCAAACACCTAAAAATATAAATTCTTTTATCAATTATTATTATTTTTATTATTAATTCAACCAAAAATGTAATGAGACACCAAATTGGGATTCAGCCCCTAAATGCTGGTTAGCAGAAGACTCCCTGAAGCTACCTTTTGTCTCCTGTTATGTATTTTCATCTTAATTTTTTTTTCTAAAACTTATTTCATAAAATATGCCCTCCTATTTGGTCCAGCAGGTCATAAAACAAAATGCCGTCATCGATATGTCATAGCTAAAGACTCGGATCCTCCACGTTAATTATTCATTTCGTATATTAATGGTGGTGGTTGTGACGGCAAAGTGAAGGTGACAGTGGAAATAGTGGCACAATTGTGGAGAGATTAGTAAAAAAAAAATTTCAGTTCTCTCCAATTAAATTTTCCAACTAGAAGGTGCTATTATCTAGTATTTCATCTCTACTAATTAAACTTGCTTTCCGTTGACTGTGAATTTCTATTTTTGTTGATTTTCCTTTTTTGTTGTTCCAAAATCCCCAAAAAAAGAAAAAAGAAAAAAAACAACAACAATCACCCACCCAAACAACTCTAGCTCTAGGATGTTGATTTTGTTAGCCACAGAGCTTTGGCTGCATGCTAGAATTCACAGATGCAAACTGAAAACCTCCTCGAGTGAACCCGCCAACAATCAAAAAAAATACACATACACGGAAGCCAATCACAGAATACTTAGATCTCATCATAGGATTAAGGTAATTAAATATGCAATTAATTAACTGGAAAACGAATCCAATAGATACAAAATAAATAAGAAGGGTGAAAACTATAAAACTATGCATGATTGTACCCAAAAAAATGCCCACAATTGATCAGCATAACAAAATTGAGCGTGCGCAAAGCGGACATCACTTTCAATAATTCCGTGTCTTTGTGTTCATAACTATCGTCGACGAATTCTACCAACAGATACCATGGATCTTTTGGGGAGCGGCCACCTGAGAAAGACAAGGCACGAGGAACACAATCAGAATGAAGCAAAATTTGTTAGCGTAAAGCAATAAAACCACCACACGGAAGAGACATCAAACCTCAGAATTTTTTATTTTTTATTTTTTATTTTTTATAGAATATTGCAAAAATAATTCACGCTTATCTGATAAATAGCTGGAATTCATCCCAAATATAATAAATACAATCAAAAGAACAGACCAATTTTTTTGACAAAATATATCATAAAAACCACATGAATTCACACCCATTATAAAGATTGGTATAAATATATCTAGACATTAACCAAAATGCATACAAGATATTTACCTGTTAAATTTGTCTGCGCTAGTCTCCTCAACAACCATGGTTAGATTCAAAAGGGCGTCACTTCTTTCTCTTATCACAACCACCTCCATAGATTTGCCAACCTTGTCCCATATTATTCCATAGAACTAATACCAACAAGAGAAAGATTAAACTGACATATATGATTTTGCAAGTGGCAAATGATTTAGAGACAGAAAAAAAGAGATTCATATTGAAAAACCAATATAGTTACTGAGTCACTAGGCCATGTAGGCATCCGTAAACGCCATTCAGCCATGTAATAGGGTATTAGAATCCTCCACAATAATCATTCTCGCAATGGTAGCTTAAGTAGGCGGCTTAAACCCAAAACACAATCAATGGTGGTAAGTATATGGTCAAGTCCGAAATACAATTATCCTAATAATGATATATTATTTTAGAAATCCTATTCCCCTAATGAGACCCACAATCAGTGACGAAACCAAGAATTCAACATAAAGGAGGGCATATTAATCACCGTATTGAATTTTTTTTTTCCATAATAAGCAACAGCTAGATATTATTAAACTTGAACATTTAAATTTAAAATTTTAATTGTTAATGAGTAGGATACAACATTTAACTTGCTGCTACCATGTTTTCACTTGTTGGAGTTAGAATAGTTTATCGTATGTTCTTTAGTCATTATGTCTTAACATTTTGAACCATAGCAAAGCATTCAGAATCCCAAAGTAGGAGAATGTTTCACAAGGACAACAAATTATTATTATGTGTATATGCTAGTTGCTAATGGTAACGATAATGACAACAATTATGATGATGAAGATATAGTCATGCTAATTTTAACATTCCAAACAAGGAGAAGATTATACTATTTTAAAATCAATGAACTCGCATCTAACACCATTCTACACCTCCATAAAAGCACGAGAAAAAGGAAAACAAAACACAGTAACAGATTATCCTTTTCCCCCTCTTTTTTAATGGGGACACTTCTATATATTGAAGTATTACAAAGAAGCTTGATATGCTATTTTAGGAATGCAAATAGTGCCTCCCTAATAACAACAATGACAAGTGTGATATACCTCCAAAATACTCTGAACAAAATTTTCGCTGCATCGAACAATGACATCACCTTGCAGGGGACTCTTTTATAACCTAGTTGACAGTTTGGAAGATTATGCAGTGGCATATGCAATTAGTAGAAATATCTCAATTAACAGAGACATCACATGCATGCATGCATCCATCCGTATACATACAAACACATGTACACACACACTTGGCAATTAATTCTCTTTTTTTTTTTATTATTAGAGGTTGTAAACGCTATACAAAAGAAAACCGCTACTCCAAAACTTAAACAAAATCCAAAAATTAGTTCAAGAACAGATCAACTGATCCATAATACCAATTATACAAAATAGAAAGGGGGAAAATGGCACTTTCAAAACTGGCATCACATTGCCCTCAAAATTCTTCTATTCCGTTCGCTCCAAATCAGCCACAATATTGCCAAAGGAACCAGCTCCCCATGCATTCCTTTTTCCTTATATCAACTCAAACTCCTTCCCAAGACCACCGAAGCTCCTCGACCACATGTTCTGGACTGTATGGACTTTTAATATTAAGGGTGGTTATGGACTCTTGCCACCTTGAGTCTAGGGCTTTAGAATGTCGTTCATAATATATTTTTGTTGAATTGATCCAGGCCGCGCATCATTATATTTTGGCTACGCCTATTGTATTGGTTTGAGTATCAACAACGCTCATTCGTGCCATTTTTTTACGCCAAACTTTACAAGCCTATGCATTAAGAATTTGCATTTCTGGGCAAATTCTCAAATGGGTGGTTGCTGAGCACCTATTTGAAAAAAGGTTGAGTTGGTTTTACCATTTTCTCAATTATTTCTTCATTGCATGTTTCCCAAGGCTTGGACCGTGACAGCTATGGCTCATACTGCATGTTAAATGATGTGGATGAAGTCATTGTTGCAAGAGATAGGGTTTGTATTTTTGACAAACTAGCAAAAATCTTGCAATAACCAAGGGGCAATTTTTATCTCTACCGTTGCAATGTTTCATGAAAGGAGCAATTAGTTAGATATATGGTGATGAGGAAACAAATTCCCACATCTTACGTTTAAGTCAAAAGATCAATTGAGTGCTGCATTTACAAGGTAGCAGGAAGGGGAATTTCAATGAGTTTTGGTATAATTTATATCTACGCCCTCAGCTTGAGGGCGAGTGCTTAGATTCTGTTACAAGGACTCAAGTACAGGCATCGGGTGGGTTCAGATATTTGTCTCTGTAAAATTCATCTAATTCTATATTAACAAACTAAAATATAACATTTTACCTACAAAATGGAAGTAATAACTGCCACTAGTTGACGTTAGCGTAAAGATGATGGAGAGCCTATCAAACATCTTGCCTTACATATCCCTAGAGAGTTATGTAGTTTGTTTCTATCCTTTCTAAGAATACAATGGGATATTCCGAGGGCAATGTTTAATATATTGATGACTTGGGATGGTGTGAGGGGAAGGGCAAATGTATGATAGTTCCACTATGCCTTTTGTGGAAGGTGTACGAGGAATGATGCAGTTGAGCTTTTGACAGCATAAGACAATCTTTGAAAGAGATTAAGATGAAGTTATAAAATGTCCTTTTCTTAGTTTTTGGCTCAATGAACGGAATAGTTTGTGTTAGAATTTCCCATCTTTACCTTCACCTACTCCACTACACACTCCACTTCACCTACCTCCACTTCACCACACACTCCACTTCACCTAAACCTCCACTACACCTACTACCACATTTTCTTCTATATATAGATTGTATAGGAATTGTAATTGATCAATCTTGTAATACATCAATCAATAATACATATATTTCAACAGTTTGAAGGCTTTTCTCTCTCATCTTGCTCTTTCGCTCCAATCTGCCTTCGCTTTCTCTCTGTTACCAAGCTGGAATTCAGATCTGTAAGTTTTCCTTCCATTTCGCACCTATATAGATGCACATGTTTTCTATGAACTCAGATCTGTTTGTATGAAATCGAGTATGTTCGAATTCATATCTGTTTGATTTTGTTTCGTAGTGGGTGATCAATTTATAGTTTCACGTCTCAAGCCCTTTCTCTAAGTCTCTCTTTTGAAGCTAATTTGATGCTAGCTTTTACTCCTTCAGATCAGTATTGATGATTGTAAGCTACTTTGAATGATATTAACTTTGTGCAATATTATAAACCCTGAATGATATTAATTCTATGTATTGTTTAACTGCGTAGCTATTAAAACTTTCTTTTATCCTTGGGGAACATTTTCAAAATTGGTATCCATTGCTACAAGCAAATGCATGTGTGAGTAAATCTAGATATTGTTCCTATCAATTAGTGTTTCTTCAAATACATGGAAACAAATAATGTAAATCCTATGCACTGCTGCTTTTTCCCCATTCTTCGTCATATTATAGTTTCATGTTTTATATTCTTATTCTAGCTTGTAATGTTGCAACTTGTAATATTGCTCACAAGCTTGCAATCAACTCCAATTTGCTTTAGGCGATTGGAAGAGTAAAACCATATTGAGGTTCAATTCACTTAGACTATTTAAAATAGTTCCTAATTTCAGCATTCTTCTAACATCACAGTAGAAGTGAAGGCAAGTACCCTAGTTCGAACTATTAGAGTTATATTTTTCAAGACACGGGCCATCCTTCTTGTCCTCTAGTTTGATGAACCTTATGTAGGTGTGTTTGGAAGGTCAAATCCATCTTAGGATGAGAAAATCCACTTAGGATGTGTTTGAAAGGTCAAATCCATCTTTTTATTCACATTTCTCCTTGCAATTTATACCAATATAAATCTTACCCAAATCAAAGATCCAAACACAACCTTACTGTATGACGGTGCAATATGAGTAGTTTTCTTTCTAGCAAGGGTGTTCACCAAACCGTGAAAACCCGACCCACCAAACCGGGCCGTCCGACCCGATGAGCATACGGACGGTTTCGAAACACCCTGCGGTCAGCTGTAGTTTGATAAAATGTAATTTTTCGGGTATTGGTTCAGTTAACGGGTTTAGATATTTGGGACCCGTTGAAACCGAACCAGCCGAATATATATCTTGTAAAAACGTTACCTTTCCTCCTATCAAGTTTTTATTGGTCTTCGGGATTGCACATTATCTGCGCGGCATGCGTGTCGTGATATCTGAAAAACTCTCAAACACGTTTCTCTTTTATCTAAACATTAGTCTCAAAACTCTCAACCACTTTATCTTTTTTCTAAGCATTGTATCTATCTTTTTCTTATTCTCTCTATCCTTGTCAACAGATTTCTCTTTTTTCCACGTATCTCTCTTTATTGTTCCCTCATTCTCTCGCTTCTCTCTCACCTACTGTCAACCACTTTCTCTTTCTCCCATGTATGTCTTTCCCTCATTCACTCTCTTCTTCTCTCTCTCTATTCTATCAAAGATTCAATTGTAACCCTAAACTCTAGTCCAAAAACCTTACTGTCTCACGATATGAACATCCAAAGGGAAAGCCCCGTTCCTTTTCACGGTCGACGACCTTCAGGCTTCATTAATGCCAGATTTATGAATTTTTAAAGTTGATGGTGACGATGTTGGGAATACGCATCAATTGATTGATCTTGAAGCTTCAGGAACGATGATGGAAAAAATGCAGATGGTTGGATGCAGTACTGACGCCGATTGATCTAGGTTTCGTTTTAATTTTTCGATTGATCTAGATCTATTGATCCTTAAGTTTAGTTTTTGTTTTGTTTTGTTTTGTTTTGTTTTGTTTGTTTGTTTTTTTTTTTTTTTTTAAGTTTATTTAATTTTATTTGGTATACCAGAAATCGTATTTATATAGAAGTGTTTTTTGTTCTTTGTTCTTTTTTTGGTCATTGAATCTGTTGAACCTCGTGAATCTGCAATTTCTTTTCCAAATTTTTTGATATTTGACTTTTGTAATTTCGAAACCGTCTGAATCCGACCACCAAACCGAAGAAGATGGACGGAGGGTTTCGAATTAACATGCGGTCGAAAACGATTGAACATGTTTCCAAACCGAACAGTTTCGGTCGAGTAGCGGGTTTGAGTCAAACCCGACTCGACTCGTGAACACCCCTACTTTCTAGGGCTCACTCATTTTGGGGAAAAATGAAATATTAGGGGCTTACATAGTCAAACAGATGGATTTATGGTTAGATCACTCAATTTAGGAAGCAAAATGGATGTGGCCTAGATTTTAGTTTCGTAACGGTTTGCTTACGCATGAACAGCTTTCCACTGAACAAGCATATCACGTAGGGTGAAACTGATCAGTTTCTTCTGAACTCTTGGTAATGATTTCTAGAAATTTTAACACAGTTGCATATTTTTCTATGCTTATCTTATAGGAGTCCCTGGAGGTTTTGAAGTATATGTGACAAACTTAGAGAAAAGGCTCTTGTAGCAATTGTAGAGGCTTGCAATTGCAAATTGTGGCAAGAAATTGTGAAAAGAAGTAATTTTTTTCTTCTTTCTATTTTTCGTTTGATGTTTTGTTACTACTAGTTGGGATTGGGAGCTTTTTAAACAAAACGTATAAAATAGGAGAATCTGTGACGCTTTTGTTTCAGTAGTTTGTGGTTCTTCCAAAATTGAGGTCGGTGTCAGTTCATAGTTCATAGTTCATGTTTTGGTGATTTCTACTGTTACAAGTAGCACATAGGCAAATGATGTGCTTGTGCTGCCTTAAATTAAATCCAATGCAAAAGTTAGGATTGATCTTCATGATCAACCAAAATTTATCTTCATTCATATATCTCTCTAAAATTTTGATACGGCGAGATGGTAGTCTCCATTGATGTTTGTTCTTTGAAAGCTAATTGTGTGGCTTCTTAAGTGTAGCTTGGCCTCATATGCGTAGGAAATCTGGGTGTGACCATATGCTGTACACATTTCTTCTGTAAATCTTGCAATCATATAATTTACTGGTTTGTTCAATTAATCCTGAAGGATTTTTTTTAATTAAAAAAAAAAAAAAACCTTGCATGCAGACAGTGAAGTAAGATCATCTTCTCATAGTAATGAGCAATTAAGGTTCTGATGGGTTAATCATCAACAACTCATTTTTTAGTTTTTTTGTAATTTTTCATATTTCTTTTTCATTAATTTGGCTCACGGTACCACATGTTTGCTTCCTTTCTAGTATATGTACAAATGTATAGAAAAAATGACTCTTTGGTATACCTTTTATACTTAATTTAGCATTCTAGTACATAAGTACACAGTGTTGAAACAAGAGATGTAAACAGCATATGGTCTAGAATAATATATTTTGCAGTTATCCTGACACCAATAACCTCAATATTCTTGATATGCAGTCAAAATTATTGTAGTTTTCATAAAGGCATTCAACATCCGGAAAGAAGATATTGACCCAACGAACTGGGATCTATCTAAAACAAGGTGTGGCGGAGAACATACCTTTTCAACAAGAACACCTTTGACAATATTGGGGAACTTTTGGATAATTCTTTCCAACTTGTCTACACTTGCCGCATAAAGATTAGCCATTTCCATTCCAAGCCAAGGTCGACAGAAATTCCTATGCCATGATACAAACCATTAGACCCTCTAAGACAGCTTTAAAATGATTCCTATTAGTTGTTTTAATCTACTAATTCACAAAGATCTAACACACTTCCAGGCTATAGAACACCTAGTAACACATGTACTATGCAAAGTACGGAACATGTTGAAGACACGGTTACCCTGGCTCACCTCCATTGAGACAGAATGTGACATAAGGGAGGCCACGAGTTTAAAAAGTTAGCAATAACAAAAAATAATAATAAATTTCAAAATGCACATATGAAAGTCTTTGAAAGTATAGCGCACACAACATAAATGTAAATCGAAATATGAGTATATTTATAATTACAAGGGGCATCCCTGTAGTAAAAATGAGACCTACTACACAATATGAGGAATGGTAGACTAAGCAACACCTCCCATATATAAGAGTGGGGCCCATGGGGAGAAAATAATTTATCAAGCAAACTTACTAGCAGCTGCCTACACGATTTTCTTCAATCAAGTGTTTGATGGTATGTTGAGAACGGGGTGTAAAAATGTAATGAAGACTTCAAATCAATGACCATGCCTTTATAGGCTTAATTCTTTGTAATCATATCCCACTTTGTCACATTTATTATGCATACTTTACTTTCCAAAACACTAATTCACGAACAAAGTAACCTTAGGATTTCTGCAGTAAATAAAACTAATTATTCAAAAAAATTACGATTTAAGAGTTTGAAAAGTGACCTTCAGCTTTTGTTGGAGAAAGGGATGAGCAGTTGTTAATCATCCATGGGGAGCATTCCTTTTTTTATAGGGAAGTCGGGCTGTTAAGATCAGCTTAAGGGGGGGCACGTGGCCTAATCCCTTTGGTGTGACTACCAGATATCTCCTATCCTGAGATCTCTGTTTTGGTATCTCCTATCTCCCATACACTCTTTACGCAAAAACAATGGAGGTTCCTTACCTCAGTGTGTCAGACATATCAGATGTCTCGGTCAACGTCTCTCTCTCTAAGGCTGGTCAAGGGGGAGCACCACAATGCAATCCTGACAATCCATTGACTCTAGCCTCCAAGCCACTATCCTCCAATGATTATGTGCTGATATTCTTTGCTCTGCTCCTAGCCTGGTAACTTGTAGAGCAAGTCTTAGGCTGGATGATGGAAGGTGCACTGAGCGATCTCCTTGGAGAAATCGAGTGGATCATTAAACAATTAGAGACCGGCTTATAGTGACCGCTCGATTGGAGAGATCTTGACAGAGCCAAGGTAAGGTGACCAAAAAAGGACAATATGAGGGAGCAATCCAAAAAAGGAGAACTAAAGAAGGCAATCCAAAAAGAAAGATCCGGATAGGGTTACCAAATAAGAAATCTAGATGTGCCTACACACACCAAATTTTCAAATCAAACGAATCTGAATGGGAACCAGGAGTTACAAGAATGATGAAAGGAAGCCATTAAATCTCTTTATCCTTGATTATCTTGACATTAATCTATACCAACCATGTTCTACATCAAACAAGAGAGCACGGCTCACCCATGAGGCATGCACACCTCTCCAGAGGTCACGTACGAGTGTCCGACACGTGTCAGATAAGGACACGCGCCGGACAAGTGTCGGACACACTGAAAAGAGTAGAACATGTTGGGACACTTGGGACACGCTACGAACACGTTGAGGACACGTTACGGATATACTGAGGACTATTTTTTTCAAAAATATTAAAAATTTTAATTTTTTAATAAAATAACATACATCAAGTTGATAAATTTGATAAAATTAAATATTTGACATAAAATGCATATTAAATATTTAAAAATATGACATATAATAAATATAAAAAATTATAATTTTTTCACGTGTCCCCAACATGTCATGTCTTGCATTTTTTTTTAAATTTACGTGTCCACGTGTCCGTACTTCTTAGCAGCTCACCAAACCAATAAAGAACTTTGGCATCAGCCACACAATGTACTTCAAGAAAAGCAAAAATCAATGGGCTCAAGTAATCGGAAATATATAATATATCGATTTTCTCACAAGAGAACAATTAAGAAACACCAAAATGAAATAGCAATTCAATCGAATCTTACAAGTTAAAATATCCAAATAAAAACAGAATAAACACCAATGTAACAAAACGATGCATGAACTACGCCTAGTTGGCCAAGGCCCGTATAAGTATCATTTCTGATCGACTACTCGTTTCCATCAAAAGATTTATTTTTATATTACCAAATGTTGACGTGGAACAAGATGGGCCCACTCTCCATACCACTAGAATCCTACTAAAAAATTCCTATCACAACCTGCCAACAATTTCCAATGATTCCTACTCCTCTTATATTTGTAACTTCAATAAGCACTAACGCTTGATGGGGGCCTAATACCCTTCGAGGGGAAACCTCCAATTCCCCAGATCACAAAGCACCAAATAGAAAGTACCCACCACAAACTTCCAGTGATTCCCTACTTCTCTTATAGATCCCAAGCTTCTGCAAAATCCACCATCTAATATTGAACCAGCCACACAAATCTCAAGTTCCAAAACATACAATGTAGTGTCAATCAAGTAATACACCACACATGGTGGTAAAACAACGGTTTCCTTTCATCAAGATCTTACAAACATTATTTGAAAATCAAAGTAACTTGAGAGAGAGAGAGAGAGAACATCTAAAAAGCATACAAGACATTTGCTTTTCTTTTTCCTTTTTGATCAGCCATATAACAATCGTTAAGACATTTGTTAACAAGCATTGAGCACCTGCTTATGTAAATAGAATTTTGGTGACAAGAAAGTCACCACGTGTATATAATTTAGTGACAAGCACCATGCCATGTGCACAAGCACATTGACACATAGACAAACATGTTGGTGACAATCATATTACCACGTGAGCAAAAAATGTCAACTCGTGATTTTGGCTTTTTTTTTTTTTTTTTTTTTGTCTCCTTTCTAAACTTTTTTCAATTTTTTAATTTTTTTTTTTACTTTTCCAGTACTTCTAGTCAAGTAGAACCAAAAAGCCTTTTCATTTTTTTTTTATTTTTTATAATAAGTTTACTAAAGAAGAAAAAAAGCCAACAAAAAAGCAAACCCCGAACACCCACCCACTCACTCACTAAGTGGATTAAGAACTCCAGCGAGTTTCCAAAAGTGAGCATAAGCTTGCAAGCTAAACCACTATAAAAATCTGTGTGTCCATTGTGCTTTTATTTACATTCATGCTTTGGTATCCATATTTGTATAAATGAGCTATTTGAGTAATTTGTCAATTTGCAGTAAATTGAATATTCCATTATCTTATTACATCCTTCAAATTGAAATTAGCATTGGAAAATTTATCATTGGCTCACGTAATCGTTCAATAAAGTTAGAGACAAAAAGAATTCACTAATTCATAAACTAGCACAAGCTTTGAATATCAATTTAAATAAAATATAAGAATTGATATCTATAAAGACACTATTTGGGATACCTATAAAAGACGGAAATTAAAAGGGGATTAATCAAAAAAATAATATATATTACCTATTCACCCTCCCTGAGCATGCACAATTCCCTCAACTACAAATCTAGATGTTCTAGATGATTAGACCTTTTTGTGCATAAGAGATAATCTTTCTTGTTTAGCATTCAAGTGCATGCATGTTAAACTACCCAACAAACCCCATGTGAATGCATGTGGCTTCCAACTAGTTATAAAAAAAAAAAGTCACTGCATTTTGAAATGACATAGAAAGATTTGAAACATACCCATATTTCTTAAAGTGCTCCAAGCAATTAGAAACTATGTTGATTGGGAGAAAAGGTGTACATAGCGAATCATAAAAATTGACTCCAATGACTTCTCCATAATGATTGATAAGGGGTCCGCGGATACCAAACAAAAAAAAAAAAAAATCATTAGTTCAAAGATTGCCTAAATACATATAATCTAGTCAAATAAAACCAATAGTTCATTGCATTATATCATATATACTACAAAGACGTGTAACATTTTAGGGCCAGATTGTAGTCCACCATGAACGATCTACACATTGTATCACATAATTTTTGCCCAAATGTAGACCTACATCAAGCACACATATAAACAAATGCTAGGAATATATTAGAAATATTCTTAAATGTTATAATAGTATAAATGGGCCTTTGAAGGTGAAAATACCAAGCTTTGCCCCGAATCCAAACAGAGTCTTGAATGAAATACCAAATCCACACCTAACCCTATTAAGCCCGTACCAACTACGTTCCAAGAGAAGCAGTGTGGGGCAATCGGGCAGGTTTCCCATTTACTTTGCCCCGTCGCTATTCCTAAATGTAGAGGATGCCAAAAAAATTGAAAGACGGTCATATCATCATTCTCTACTAATCTAAAAGCCAAACGCAAATGTAAGCATAAGAGAGAGAAAAGTTATCACTTTCGAAATTTTGCAGTTCGCCCTGAAAAGCTCTTTACAATCGAACTTGCAGCAGTCAAGACTACACAGACAGAAAAAAAGTCGAGTCACTTACAAGTAATAATGTACCATAATTAATACTAAGCCTTTTCTTTCGTATATAATCTATGCACTATGATTAACACAAAATAATGCAACAATTAGGTAATGGCACCGTAATATAATTTATGCCAAGTTAAGCGCATCATAGAATTCTACATTCTACTATTGGAAAAATGTGCATAGACTAAGATATGTCGTTGATCAAGAAAATTGCAACATGCAAACTAAATTTACGTTGGGTACCTGAATTGACCACGAGCAGCCATGAGATTATATGGTGCATCAAAGAAGCGACCAACTGCTACAACAATATCTCCAGGACAAAGTTTAGATACATTTGAAAGAGGACGAAGCTGAAACGAGTCTGAGCCGGGGATATCATTTGGATCTATACTGATAGAGTCTTCCAATAGCCTTAGACTTGCAGTTGGTAAAGTCGCATTAGATTCAATTTTGATAAAAGCAATGTTGAAATGAAAGTCATAGGCAAACACTCGACCCTCAAACAATTTGCCATCTGAAATATAAACATCAATCTGCAATAACAGTGTAACCATTATTTTAGCTCATTGAAAAACACTGAATAGTATTGTATTGTACCCAAGACAAAAAAATACTTTCATTGAAATAATGACCTTGATATCCTCGGGTACCGCTTCTAATTCTGCAGAAGACCTAAGGAGACTAGCAGAAGTTAAGATGGTACTGAAATATGTACCGTTGACATTCTCACAATCTATGATTGTGCCAGAGCCCATAAATAATGCATTCCCACCTAGCCAACAATATATATGTAAGAATAAAAAATGTATTGTTGGAATAACAATTAGTAGAAATTTGTAAAATAAGAAAAGCAATTAATATAATAATGCAGTAACTAAATACCTACCTGTAAGGGATACAACGCTGACAACAGATGGAGAAGCTTTCAAAGCAGTTTTTTTGGTATCAATATCCAAGTCCATGTTAGCATATGTATAATCATCAAACTTCTCCCAAAAAGAATGCACGGTAATTTTGTAGGGGCCTGTTGTTCATATCATTATTTAAAAACTAAAATAATATATAAACAAAATTAAAACCAACAACTTTGCACAACCAATTTTTTACCTACCCCGACTTTCAGGGCGTTTCCGTTTCCATGGGCTAATGCTTGCTATTTTTTCTTCCTTGTCACAATGATCGCGAGGATCAACCTCCATATATTTGGTCTGAAGAACAAAGAAAAAGAATATTAGACAACATAGGGAGAAACAAAAAACTGAAGAAGCCCAAAGGAGAAAAAACACACCAAACAGAGAATTAAAAGAAGATTACCCAATTGGGGGAAAAAAAGCATATAAACCCATAAGATGGTACTGACAGCAGCACTGGAGTTTAATAAATAAATGAATTGGGCTGAAGAGGACAAGGGCTGGAAATAGAACTGTGCGGGCTTTGTATTGTGAATTTTATTTTTTTTTATTTTTTATTTTTGGTCTGAAGAACAAAGAAGAAGAAAACTCATTCAAATTACAAAATCTGAATCAAATATTAAAACTAAAAAAAAAATGATTAAAACCACAATACCTAAAAAAATCGAACCACAGTATCTACAAAAATTCCAGCAAAACAATTCTCTCCCCCCCCCCCTTTTTTTTTTCCCCTTGTTCATTCCTTTTTTTAGGCAAATAATTCATTGAACAAACAAAACTAGCAAAACAAACAGCCCAAAAACAAAAATACAGAAATAACGAAACAGAAATCCAAATTCAATTTAAATAAAATAAACAACTTGTTATTCAAAAAATGACAAAAAGCAAGTAGCTTTAACATTAATTATCTTGAAATATCGCCTTCTGAATCTCTCTCTGTCTCTCTCTCTCTCTCTATAATCTTAAATGACATAGAAAAAAAGGTTGAGAAATACCCACAAAATGATTGAATCAAATAAAATAGGGATGTTTAAAATCTATACAAAATCCTATAAAAAGGTTGTAAAAAAGGTTTGAAAGAATACCCATAAAAAGTTTGAATTTATATATATATATATACAGCAAGTAAAGACTGTATGCATCTGATTTGAAGACTAGTACTACTTGGGAGAACACTAGAGAATCTTTCCAACCAGAGAGAGATTGAGTACCAGGGGCCGTGAGGCTATCGGCGCCGTAAGCAGCGAGAGGGGAAGGGGGAGGCGAGAGAGGGAAGCTGGGCGTGCTCAACCCTACCAATCACATCTTACGCCAAGTTTTGACTATGTTTTACACAATTTTTTATCTTTTTATCTTTTTATTTTTTTTTTTTTTTTTTCTATTTTTTTTTTTTTTTAATCACATTATCTTTCTATTTTTTTAAATATCTTTTCATAAAAAGACAAAAAAACACACTTATTTAGGTCATTCCAAATAATCCCTTAATCCGAATTTTTTTATATTTTCAAATTAGATATGGACTTGAGCAAAATTCATAAATTTAAATAAAAGTTTGATGGATTTGTTTAAAGACTTCAAATAATCCAAGCAACTCGAAATCTGAATTATATATATATAGATATATAAAAATATTAAATATACATATAAATTATTAACCATTACATAATATTAAAGTAATTTAAATTATTAAATCATATTCAAAATAGGGATTTTTATTGATAAGTCCAATTTAGAAGTGTTTTAATCCAAGAAGTCCATGAAGAAATTTTTTAACCCATTTAGTCCCATGTATGTATAGTTTTATTCCATAAAGTCCATTTTCTTGATTTACACTATTTTCTTGGACACTTATGCCCTTATATTTAATTTTGATACCTTTATAAATATTTTTTGAACGATTAGCAATTTAATGATGTGAACATTCATATTTTAAAATTCACATTGGTAGGAATATAAAATTAGCCCGTGGACGGCCTGAAACCTGCCCGCGAACCGGGGCGGACCCAGCCTGTTGACAATGTGAATATTCACATTGACATGTTAACATTAACATTGATAGGAGTGTAAAACTGGACAGCAGCCCAGGGCGGGCCCGACCCGGCCCGGCCCGTTGACAATGGAAATATTCACATTGACATGTTAACATTCACATTGATAAGAGTATAAAACTGGACAGCAGCCCAGGGCGGGCCCGACCCGGCCCGGCCCGTTGACAATGGAAATATTCACATTGACATGTTAACATTCACATTGATAAGAGTATAAAACTGGACAGCAGCCCAGGGCGGGCCCGACCCGGCCCGGCCCGTTGACAATGGAAATATTCACATTGACATGTTAACATTCACATTGATAAGAGTATAAAACTGGACAGCAGCCCAGGGCGGGCCCGACCCGGCCCGGCCCGTTGACAATGGAAATATTCACATTGACATGTTAACATTCACATTGATAAGAGTATAAAACTGGACAGCAGCCCAGGGCGGGCCCGACCCGGCCCGGCCCGTTGACAATGGAAATATTCACATTGACATGTTAACATTCACATTGATAAGAGTATAAAACTGGACAGCAGCCCAGGGCGGGCCCGACCCGGCCCGGCCCGTTGACAATGGAAATATTCACATTGACATGTTAACATTCACATTGATAAGAGTATAAAACTGGACAGCAGCCCAGGGCGGGCCCGACCCGGCCCGGCCCGTTGACAATGGAAATATTCACATTGACATGTTAACATTCACATTGATAAGAGTATAAAACTGGACAGCAGCCCAGGGCGGGCCCGACCCGGCCCGGCCCGTTGACAATGGAAATATTCACATTGACATGTTAACATTCACATTGATAAGAGTATAAAACTGGACAGCAGCCCAGGGCGGGCCCGACCCGGCCCGGCCCGTTGACAATGGAAATATTCACATTGACATGTTAACATTCACATTGATAAGAGTATAAAACTGGACAGCAGCCCAGGGCGGGCCCGACCCGGCCCGGCCCGTTGACAATGGAAATATTCACATTGACATGTTAACATTCACATTGATAAGAGTATAAAACTGGACAGCAGCCCAGGGCGGGCCCGACCCGGCCCGGCCCGTTGACAATGGAAATATTCACATTGACATGTTAACATTCACATTGATAAGAGTATAAAACTGGACAGCAGCCCAGGGCGGGCCCGACCCGGCCCGGCCCGTTGACAATGGAAATATTCACATTGACATGTTAACATTCACATTGATAAGAGTATAAAACTGGACAGCAGCCCAGGGCGGGCCCGACCCGGCCCGGCCCGTTGACAATGGAAATATTCACATTGACATGTTAACATTCACATTGATAAGAGTATAAAACTGGACAGCAGCCCAGGGCGG